TAATAATCTAAGATACTCATGGTGTTTATGGAGAGTTCCAGTCTAGTTTTAAGTCCTGTAACAGCAATGAGATAGGACTGCGAGGTGGTTTTATCAATCTTCCTTCAGGTTGTCTTAGTTCTTTTAGATTTAAGTCAAGTCAACTTTATTTATATAACACATTTAAAAACAACTGTCATTAAAAAAAACAACTGCCGTTGGCCAAAGTGCTTCACATATTTCAACTATTAAAACAAGGCATTATAAACAATACACAYATACTAATAAACCATAAAACAGACCAAACTAGAAGCACTCAGAGAGTGCAAACCTCTGCCAACCAATTTCCCCATCCTATAATAGAGTTAATGTGCAGAAGGAGAGATGGAAACACATTTGCCAAATAAGTTCTGACATAGCGAACATTCAAGCAGGCAGTATGSACGGAATTTCTTCCCGGTGGAGTCCAATACAAAAAAAAAAGTCAGAGACTCGTCACCCGACGTTATTCATCCACAAACTGGTCCCGGATTAGCCTGGTAAAAACCAGACCCTTGTCCTTCACTTTCCGGTACAGGACCGGTGTAACACCAGCACCATCTTCGGCTGGACTGCAGCAGGACACTGTCGTTGTCTTCTGTCATTCCCAAAACGTGAAGAGAATCACATTTCTTTTTCTATGTCTCAGCATGTAACACTGCCAAAACTAGTTGATAAAAGAATAATCACAACTTTCCCGATAGTAGACATCCCGGGAGGTGTAGTCCCAGCGAGTTTGRGACTTGTACTTCCTGTTTCCTACAGACATGTGTCTGACGTAATGACACTTTGTGTAGCCTGTTTGGTTCGCTCGAATTAAAAGAAAAATTCCTGATCCGCATCATGATCCGGAACATCACCAAAATTTAAAGTTGTGTTCCTTTGGCCAGTACCCACATGTGGTAAAAACGTCATGACAATCCATTGACAAGTTTTTGAGTAAATTTGTCCACAGACAGACAGACAGACAGACAGACATGACCGAAAACATTACCTCCTCCCTTGTCTGAGGTAATAAATAGGGAAAAACAACTCTCATATTACATTAAAGGCTTTTGAAAATAGGTGTGTTTTAAGATGAGATTTAAAAACTCCAAGAGTTGAGGRCTGTCTAACGTGAAGGGACCACAGTTTAGGAGCCACAACTGAAAAGGCTCGGTCACCTCTATGGACAAGTCTGGACCGCGGGACAACCAAAAGAAAAGGATCATGGGATCTGAGAGATCTGGAGCGCKCATAGGGCTGCAGGAGGTCAGGCAGGTATTCAGGAGCCAGACCATTCAGGGCCTTATAGGTCATCATTAAAAGTTTAAAATCAATTCTAAAGTGAACAGGGAGCCAATGAAAGGAAGCCAGCACCATCACTACCTGTTTGTGGACAGTAACAACTGCAACTTAACAAAATACTATAAAATGTACCCAAGGATTTTGGATCACACGTCACAATGTGTGCATGCGTTAGAAATTATCACACGCATAACCAGTCTGGCACTCAAACTGGTTCCTTCACAGGAAATTAACTGCCAACCTACAACTGAATCTGCAGCCTTCGCATCAAATTTAAGCAAACCTGCTACTTAATACAATTATTTTTGTGTCCGTAATGTAAATGTTGACTTTTTAAATCATTTACAAGAGTTGCCAGTGTGATTTATGCAATGTAAACATGTATGCATTTGAAGAAGAAAGCTGGAATCAGCAATTTACAATGGCTGTTTTTGGCTGTTTGATCGTTAAACTAAACGTGGATAAATTGTTGGTAGGTAACTTTACTGCAAAATAGTCATCAAAGAGGCTTTGTAGCATGGTGGTTAGTATTGAAATTAACTTCTTCTGCAATATTTGGTCCCAACTATTTACTGGCCCTGCAATGTCTTGACTCATTTAGGATGTCATGTCATCACCACCAGTTTTAGAGTTGTAGGAAAATATCGATACACTGAAATATTGACATATTTTATTTCCCGATACTATATCAATTCTCTAAAGCCCAGTATTGATTTTTAATTAGGTTTTAAAATGTCAACTTTCCTGCCAACGGTTCATTTTTATGTTGTAGTTCAGTCTCTGACCACCAGTTGGCAACAGTGAGCCAGCCATTTGGCTCGTCCACTCCTGAGGAGCCAGAGAGTAAGTAAAGAAACACATACATGTCAACTTGTATGGATTGTCCGTAAGTTATAAGGATTTTACGTCCTTTTGCAGGTATACTGACGTACAAGGC